CGTCAAATCAGATCTGACTGGTACAGGAGGAGATTGTTCCTCCTTCTCCAGCAGAGCATCTGGTGGATTCGAACCGTGCATCTCTGAGATTGCAGTTGCAGCTTCTTGCCACTAGGCCACCAGAGCTCGCCCTGTCCTCTTCTTGCTCACTGGCTGCTCTCCAGGGTCTTCAGGGACTGACTTGGGGGAGTTGATTAAGCATCTCTGGGTGGACTTGACCATCCACCCTTTTGGTTTGCAGCCACACGCTTTAATGGTTGGCAGCCCCCAGGGACTTCACACTAAGAAGCTTGACTTTTCAATGTGTGTAAGCTGGTGGTTCATTACATGTTGGGATGCTAGGCACAAGGTTGTTGGTGCAAATCCATGAGCTGCTCGTGGAAGAAAGACTAGGCTGTCTCCTCCGTGAAGACGTCTATTCTGTAGGAGGGTTACCATGAATCAGGAGAGACTCAACAGTAGTTAAGTCTTGTTTGTTTTATAACATGCAGACTGCAGACAGTCAGCGAGATGACTTCATGTATGTATACGTCTATGCTGCTGTCTCGCTCAAATACACAGCGCTCCCACCAGCGCCCCCTGTAGGTCATGGCCAGGAGTTTACTGCCAACCCAAAGATGCTGTCTGAATCCACCCCTCAGGAGAAAGATGGGTGATCTCCTCTCATGCAATTTACAGCCTCTGAAAGCTCATTGTAGGGTCAGCTGTGAGGCAGTTCAGCCTTGATGGCATAGAACAACAGCAAGAGAAGTAACTGAGGTCCAGACTTTCAGCCCCATACATTAGTTAGCTTTCAACCTCATGTAAATGGAATCCTATGATTCTCTGGCTTTTTCACACAGTGTGACACCTGTCGCTCACCCATGGAGGCGGGCATTTCTGTGGTGTCACTTTTATTTCAGTTCACCCACCACCTGATACTGGAGGTGGCTCCAGCTTTTGGCTATTATGAATAACGCTTCTGTGAACATATTTCTACCTGGTGTTTTTGGTGGACATAAATCCTATTTCTCTTGGGTATTAACCTAGGAGTGGGATTACTGCGCTGGGTGGCTGTTTCATTTTAATGCCAGTTTGCTGTTGAGTTGATTCAGGCTCACGTTGTCAGGCTCTGTGGGTGTCAGCGTAACACTATGTTCTGCAGGGTTTTCAATGGCTGATTTTTCTGGACACAATCACCAGCCCTTTCTTCCGAGGTGCTCTGAGTGGTTTTGAACTGCTAATCTTTCTGTCAGCAGTGCCTTAACCACACAGAAACTCTCTGACTTGGATGGAAACTGCCCAAGTGTTTCTATCTCAGGAACGTCTGAACAGGGCAGGGTGTGGAGGAGTGTTTGTGTGGAGAGGTGGGCTGGTGGAGGGGTGGCTGGAGAGGATGTGGAGGTTGGGCAGGGAAGAGGCAGAGAGAATGGGCCTCTGATGCTGGGACGCATCTCCCACAGGCCGCCTGATCTTTGACAACCTGAAGAAGTCCATCGCCTACACCCTGACCAGCAACATTCCCGAGATCACACCTTTCCTGCTTTTCATCATGGCCAACATCCCCCTGCCCCTGGGCACCATCACCATCCTGTGCATCGACCTGGGCACTGATATGGTGAGCTGCGACCATGCCCGGGCTCCAGGAGGGTGGGGAGGGGTGGGGAGGGGTGGGGAGGGGTGGGGAGGGGTGGGCCCTCCCCCCCTGCTGGGCCCTCCCCCTGCTGGGCCCTCCCCCTGCTGGGCCCTCCCCCTGCTCGGCTCACCTGGTCTCTCCTGCCCAGGTCCCCGCCATCTCACTGGCCTATGAGGCTGCTGAGAGTGACATCATGAAGAGACAGCCCAGGAACCCACGGACTGACAAGCTGGTCAATGAGAGGCTCATCAGCATGGCCTACGGACAGATCGGTGAGAGCTTTAGCCCCCTGTTGTTGGGTTCTGTCGAGTCAGCTCCAACTCACAGAGACCCTGTGTACCACGTCCTGAGTCAGCCTCACAACCTCTGCTCATTGTTGCCATTGCTGTGTCAATGCATCTCCTTGAGGATGAGGTGGATGGATCTCCCTGAGATCCACCTCCTTCCCTGGCTTCTAGTTTCTCAAGTATGGTATCTTTTTCCAAGGACTGCCCCCCCCTTTTTTTTATTTTCTCTGTGCGTGTACCGTCAAATTGGATCTGCCTGGTACAGGAGGAAATGGCCCCTCCTTCTCCAGCAAAGTATCTGGTGGATTCGAACCACATGTCTCTGGGATTGCAGTGCAGCTTCTTGCCACTAGGCCACCAGAGCTCCCCCAAGACTGGCCCCTTTTGAAAGAACAGCAATACCACAAGTGGGTGGCTTTGAAGAACAGACATTGCTTTTCTCACAGTTCAGGAGGCTAGAAGTCAGTCCTAGAGGAAGCCTCTGTCTCTGTCACTTCAGGGGGGTAACCCTTATCTCTTTCAGCTTCTATTCCTCAAATCCTTGGTGATCTTCAAGTGAGATCTCTCTTCTGCTGTCTGTGCTCCCTTGTCTCTGTGTCAGTGCTGCATATTATAGGAGCAGCGCTAGGTTCAAGCCTTAGGCTTCATTTATATAACAGGGAGAAATCCTATTTCTAATTGAGATTGTATCCGCAGGTATGTTGTTGTTCTTAGGGGCCATCAAATCAACTCCGACTCATAGCACCCCTATGAAGAACAGATATGAGCCTCACCCTACCTTGCACCGCCCTTACCCAAGTCCTTTGCGGTGGTCACTGTGCCAATCCATTTCATTGAGGGTCTTTCTCTCTTTCTCGGACTCTAACTTTCCCAGCATGATGACTCTTTGCAACAACTGATTCCTCCTGAAAATATGCCCAAAGTAAGCGTAGGAATAAGTGTTAGGATTCCAACGCTTATGTGGAGGATGCAATTAAATCCATAACACTGAGGGGCAGGGACCCTGTCCCCATTGACAGCGTTCTTGTCTGCCTGGCTTATGACTCACGTCTGGCTTATTGCTGCAATCCCCAGGATGCATGGTTCGAATCCACCAGATGCTCCACTGGAGAAGGAGGGGCAATCTCCTCCTGTGTCGGTTGGATTTGATTCGATGGTATACAACAAGAAAAACAAAACCAAACCCAAACAAACAAACAAAAGTTAGTCATGTCTGGCTTATGGCTCATGGTCCAATAAGACTCGGCAGTGGAGGTTTGAGAGGAGTTGCAGCTGACCTGCAGGTGGGTGGTCACCAGGCGGGACCACCATGGGCAGGCACAGACCTGGGGATGGACAAAGGGTGGGGCCACCATAGGCAAGGACAGACCTGGGGATGGACAAAGGGTGGGGCCACCGTAGGCAAGGACAGACACGGGGATGGAAGAGGTCCTCTTGCTTGTTTTTGGAGATCATGTAGAATGTTAAGTGGAGTAAGTTTCAGAGCCCGCTGCCCGTGGAGGTGGCTCCATGATGAGAAGGACAAGATCAGAGACCAGCCAGGAGCCCTCTGAGGACAGGGTGGCCCCCATCTCTCCTCACCTCCTCTCTCCATGGCGCTGGAGGTGATGATGTGTCCTAGAGGTAGTGAGCTCCCTGTCGCTGAGAGTATCCCAACAACTGGAGGCTTTGTGACTGTGACCGCGGTTTGGAGGTCAAGCCTGGGTTAGGAGAGTGTCAGATCTGCCCAGGTGGTCCCCAGGATTTTGCAATGTTCTCAGACGGCCCAAGTCAGGGCGTCTCCAGGTTACCTATCTATCCGGAGAGAACCTCACACTGAGGTCTCTGTCTCAGGGGGCTCATCTCAGGTGTTTACCACTAGGTAGCATTTTCAGGTAACCTTCTGGGAGCCCATCTGTCTCAAGCAAGAAGACTGAAGTGGCCCACCCCCCTCAAGAGACCTCAGAAGTGGTGGGCCAGCTGCCTCATCCCCCCGAGCTCTCCCCTCCTCAGCTCCTTTCTCTCCTCCCTCAAGGAATGATCCAGGCGCTTGGAGGCTTCTTCTCCTACTTTGTGATCCTGGCAGAAAATGGCTTCTTACCTGGCAACCTGGTGGGTATTCGGCTGAATTGGGATGACCGCACCGTCAATGACCTGGAGGACAGCTACGGACAGCAGTGGGTGAGTGTGGCTGAGGACCTGCGGCTGCAAAGGAGTCAGGGCTAGAAGAAGAGCCTGGGGTCAAACTGGCCCAGTTATACACCTGCTGCCTCTGCTCCAGGGACAGCACCAAAGCCCACACAGACCTCATGTGCCTCCACCCAGGCTTTCTGTCCCTGCCAGGCCTTCTCTTCCATCTTCCCTGCCTCTCTCTTCTCTACCCATCCTGTCCCTTCAAAGCCTGTCTGATGTCCGTCCTCCTCACAGCCCCAGCCACACAGCGATAATGGTCTGTTACAGACTTTCTATCTCCTGACATCCCACTGGCCTGTGAGCTCCCAAAGGGGGCACATCTGAGGCCATGGGAGACCGTCTATATAAAGAAGCCCCACTTAGAGTAAAATGAAGGTTCAGAGGTGGGGTGAGGTGGGGTGGGGAGGAGAGACTGTTAGAGGTTTCAGGGTTTCTGATTGAGAGAAGGTTCTCAGTGATAATGGGTTCACCAGGCCATGAATGTGCTCAGTGATGTTCTGTATTACGTTTGACCGTGAGTCCTTTGGTGGTGCAAGTGGTTACACGTCTAGCTGCTAAATGGAAGAAGGGTTACAGGTTCAAATTCACCCAGAGGTAATAGAAGAGAAGATAGTCCTTGAAAATTCAGCAGAGCAATTCTGCTCTGACACACGGAGCTCTGAGAGTCAGAATCAACCCAGGACAAGGGCTCTGCTGCCTCGGAGACACACCAAGGAATGTCAGGAGAGAGTGGAGCCTGTGCTCAGGGAAGCCCAGGGTCAGTCAGAGAGGAAGAGGTTCAGGAGAAACATTGAGGCAGTGGCTGAAACACGTGGAGCGTCTGGCAAGATCTGTTCTGTTGGACGTGGGGCTGCCACGTCCCAATTAACTCGATGGCACCTAACAAAGTGTGAGAGAGAAAAATGTCCCAGAAGAAGGAAAGAAAGGACAAAGAGGAGGTCCTACTTTGCCCTGGACCCCCGGGGTGGGGAGGGGTGGGCAGAGGCATCTGGGGGTGCTGTGGGGGTGGACAGGCCAGGCTGACCACTGACGACGGCTGGGTCTGTCTTGCAGACATACGAGCAGAGGAAAGTGGTGGAGTTCACGTGCCACACGGCCTTCTTCGTGAGCATCGTGGTGGTGCAGTGGGCTGACCTCATCATCTGCAAGACCAGAAGGAACTCCGTCTTCCAGCAGGGCATGAAGTGAGCGCGAGCGCGGGTGGTGGCTGGCCCCTCTGCGTCCCAACACTGTGCTTCTGCCGCTCTCTGCCCAGGCGTGTGCGCGCATGCGCGTGGAGGGAAGCGCGTGGTAGTCTCTCTTTACGGGGTTCTGGTGGCCGAGTGGTAAGCAGTTGTGCTGCCAACTCAAACGCACTTGGTTCGGATCCAGTAGCTTCTCCGAGAGAGAATAATAGGCAGTCTCCTCCCGTGCGATTTTTCTGCCTCTGAAAACCCACTGGCGGGTCAGCTATGGGTCAGCATTGACTCGATGGTGTACAAAGCCTCCACCATGCTTCACCGTGTTTCCCCTGAAGGTTTTACCCAGCAGTTCAGGTTGTCTCATGGCATTGCTTAACTTCTGGCGCAGTTCGGGGACATTCTTGCAATGGCCCTTTGGGGTGTCTTCTTGTCTGCTCTCTCTTTTGATCCCGCTGCCCCTGCACTGGTGGTGCAGTGGTTAAGAGTCAGCTGCTAACAGAAAGGTCAGTGGTTCAAAGCTGCTTCTAGGGAGAAAGAGGCCGCAGTCTGCTTCTGGAGATTCTCAGTCAGGGACACGCTGCGGGCAGTTAGTTCTACTTTGCTCTACAAGATGAGGATCACCTCGGCAGTGGGGGTTTAGATTCTCCCCTCTATCCTTCTGCATCTCTGCGTTCTTCTGTCCCCCCACATGCTTTGTGCCTGTCTCTTCTGTGTTTACCTCTCTCTCTCTCTTTGGTGGCCTAGTGGGTAATGAGTTGCACTGCCAACCCAGAGTAAGCAGTTCAAATCCACCAATTACTCCATAAGAGAAAGACGGGTGGTCTCCTCTCGTGTGATTTACTCCCTCTGAAAACCCACTGTCTCCAGCTATCAGTCTGGTTTGACACAAAGGCACACAACAACGTCTCTCACTGTCGCTGTCTCTGCATTGCTCTGTGTGTGTGTCTCTCTGTCTTGGTGCTGGATTTCTGTGGGAAGGGGCAATGCCGGATGGGGTCCATGGTGCTCAGAGCTGCCCCCCTCCCCATGCCTCCAGGAACAAGATTCTGATCTTCGGGCTGTTTGAGGAAACGGCCCTGGCCGCCTTCCTGTCCTACTGCCCTGGCATGGATGTGGCCCTCCGCATGTACCCTCTCAAGTGAGTGACCCCAGACCTTCACTGACCCCCTGGAAACCTTGTGCTTGGGTCAGCCTCCACTGTCCTCCTCTCCAGAGCCCCCTGCCAAGCTTTCCCTGTGGGGCGTCCTCACAGCCGGGCCTGCCTGCACCAGGCTCGGCTATGGGACGCAGGCACCCAGTCACCTCTTGATCCTACATCCCCAAGCTCAGATACCCTTGAACCTCCACTGGGGCGTCGACCCCAGGCACCGTCACTCATCTTCCAGGGGGTCCTGGGGAAGTTTGCACAAGGTGACACTGCACTGGGTGCCCACACTGACGCTCTCACTCTCCTCTCTCTGCAGGCCTAGCTGGTGGTTCTGTGCCTTCCCCTATAGTTTCCTCATCTTCGTCTACGACGAAATCCGCAAACTCATCTTGCGCAGGAACCCTGGGGGTAAGGGGGCTCAGGGGGTAGCTGTGGAAGGCTTGGGGGGGCAGGGGCAGGGCAGCGGGAGGAGAGGGCTGGGGACAAGCACTGTCTGGAGCGACTTGGGTGATGCTAACCTCACTGTCTCCCCTCCCTCCATCCTGCATCTCCTCCATCCTCTTCTGTCCTCTGCGCCTCCTCTTCTCTGTCTCTCTGTCTCTGTCATCCTTTTTGTCTCTCCAGGTTGGGTGGAGAAAGAAACCTACTACTGACCTCTTTCCTGCCACATCGCCGTCTCTCCTCTGGCCCCCCTGCCCAGGACAGCCCTGTCCAGTCCCCACCATTTTGTATTCTGGGGAAAGGGGCCCTCTCTCCCGAGGCCCCACCTTGGCCCCCACCCCTCCAGTGGTCTCCGGCCTCTTTCCCTCTCTCCTCTCTGGCTGGCTTCTCTCCCCTGCCCTTGCCTCTCTCTCCTGTCTCTCCCTCTCTCTCTCCTGTGTCTCTGTTTTTCTCTGTTCCTGTCTATTTATCCCCATCTCCTGGTCCCTCCATCCCTCCCTTCCCTCCCAGCCCCTTCCCAGGGCTCTTTTTTACTCCCCTCACCCCTTGGCTAATGCCATCTTGGATTCTGGACCATTATCAAATATACCAGTGGGCAGAGAGAAACCGTATACCATGTTGTGTTTGCTTTCTGCTTTGAGCGTGTGGGTGGGACAGTGGGTGGAGGAGCGTCCTGGTGCCAACATGATGCTGGGTGAGTCACAAAACCCCTGGAACTGAGCGCGGTCTGATTGGTTGTGAGCGGTGGGAAAAAAAAATCTGAGTGATCAGACTGTGGAGGTTTCGAGTAAGACGAGCTTCAGTTTGTTACGGGATAGTGGGGAGAGGAGGGAATTCAGACGGGAGTATTGAACTCAGGGTCCTCTGTTTCTAGAGGAGAGCAGGGGGTGGGGGAGATGGTGATCATGATGATGATGGCTCAACTCCCATGAATTGCCCTGTTCTCTTCCAATCACAGTTAGCCCTTTGTAAAAGGATCAAGGTCAGTATGGGGATGGCCATCTCTGACCTCCACTAATTCCACAAGGAAAGCAGTTCACAACAAAAGCATCCGCAGCAGCACATACCAATTCCCATGAAGTCACATAACCTCCATGCTCCCACACCTCTTTCTACTCATCCCAACACCAATCTCACTGCTCTACTGCATCCAAAAATCTGTTGCAATTATTCACAGACCACACAGGCCATATCAAAGAGGTCAAAGGGCTATGACTCGTGTGGTCACAAGATACAACCACTCAGGACAGCTTCTGAAGTGTGCTCACAGGCACCTGAGGCTTCAACCGTGTGGCTTTAGGCAAGTGTTACAAAGCTCTTAGTCCTTCCAATTATGGCTCTCCCATCAGTCCACCAACAAACTTGAGCAAAGGCTCATAGCTCTGGTTCCCTGGGACCGCAGTCCCAAAGTGAGCTTTGTCTCAGGTCAGGTCTCTCCTTCTCTGCTGCAACTGTTTTTGCTCCTGTAGGTCTGGTGGGCCCAAGAATCTCTGGCCCTGAAGGCCTTGAACTCCTGCTGCTTCTTTTTTGGTGGTGAGATTCTCGAAATCCGCCACTAAATCTGCTTGTTTTAGTGGCCAGACAAGGCAGTCCCCTTGTGGATAGGATAATATGCCCTATTTGCACATTCCCTCCCACCCACATGGCAAAGTAATAACTAATGGCTGGGAAAGCCATTTAAACATTAAATCCTTAAAACCACACCCATACAGAATGTGAAGCTCAGAAGGAGAAAGTGACTTGTTCAAACAGGAAGAGGAAATGCTGGGATTTGAAGCCAGACTGTCCAAATGCTATGCCGTTCTAGTCCTCCTGTTTGTGATGTATTTGAGTTATGGTGAGTTGGACGTACCAGCATCCTTTTTCAGGGGGTACATTTTGTCATTGGTGCTACAGTCTGTTGAGAGCGGTGCTGCTAACCCAGAGGCTGGGCGCCTCTGGCCGTTTCTTTTCTTTTTCTATAATTATATTTTATTAATTTTCATAAACATTTACAGAGATTTTGGGTTTCCATTCATTCATTGTTGCACTATTCTCTCTA